GCCTGAAAATGTGTGAAAAAAATGCACAAACAAGCTATAGACCAAGGTCACACCATAGCGTTGTGCTAAATGCACAGGATCCATGTTTTTAGCACATGCTATCGCACAGTGTGTGGCACTACACACTAGAGGCAGGGTTGCATTGCATTGCCATTCAATCTCAATGGCACCCAATGCACCTCCCGGCACAGTACTGCAATAACAAGCATTGTGTTGTGGTGCTAAAAAGTAATACATGCACAGCTCTTTATCCCTGCAGGGCAACACAATGCAATGGGTGCTGCATGCGCACCTGCTGGGAGGTGCATTGTGGTGCTATTGAGTATGAATGACGATGCAACACAGCAGCCCACCTAGCCCGCATTACCATGCTTTGTGCAATTACGTGCACCAACCCCTGAGGCCCTCAAAACCGACTGTAAATGCTCATGCTCAAGTGTGATTGGGTGGTTATGGACGATCTGCCGTGATCATCACAAGCAGCTGTTACATAAAGTAGCTAAAAGAATAATAGTGCCGTGGGGAGCAGCTGTTATTGTCAATAATGCAGCTACTATATTTATAGCTGCGCTCAATGGAAACTATTAAATGTATCAGTTTTGACGTTCCTGCAGCTCTGATTGTTAAATGTTTCATGGCAAAAGCTGCTACCATAGAGACAGGGATATGTCCCCATCTCTACCCGCCCCGCTCCATTAGTGCTCGCTGGCTGGAATGAGCATCACCCTGGACGTTGCCTTATCATCCTCCTCATCAGTAGCAGTGTGACCGAGCATCTTGGTATGCTCAGCACGTCTGCTCATCACTCCCTCCTCTCTATCCAGCTGTCACATAGAGCAGGGGGAGGCATCCCGAGCATACAGCATGCCCTGATCACCAATAGGTGACTCCTGCCTTTGTATGGGAAGAGCTTCACATGTACGGCGGCACATTTTTTACATCTACTTTTTGAATCATAGAATTATTATTTATTTATATTGCTGTGTGGAATAGAAGCAGTATTCGGACCTCTTCATATATGTAATATGAATGGCCCTGCTTGCTGTGACATGTTCTCTTAGGCCTTATGTACATGGGCAGAAAAAAAGCCTCTTTTAGAGACATCAAAATATGAAAAATACAGGGCTTTTAAAGGTATCGAAATCAGGGATGAAAGACACAAACTTACATGGGTATATATTTATTAGAAATTATAATATTAATGAACATACATGCTAAAACAAATAGAAATCCCAGACCAACTAGGATATACTTCAGTAACAGCTTCCTTTTTACTTGTATGTACTTATACTTGTACCCCAGCATACCACATCCCTGGATCCCCTCCATACAATATGTTTTAAACTGGCTCAATAGAATACTAAAAACTTCCATATCTTAATAACAGAAAACTAAATCTCTTTTATCATCATAATTTATATTCTTCGGCCATTCATAAATGCACGGTGCAGGGTCTGTTGCTTAAGCGTGGTCTGTTACTGCATGTTCTGAAGAGTTTGTTGTTGGTTGAGGTGACTTCTGCAGTGTCTGTTGCTGTGAAGGAGTCTGCTGAATACTCTGCTGTTGCAAGGTTAGCTGTAGAGACTGCTGCTGTAGCAGTAAATGTTGCTGCACTGCTGTAATTCTTGAAGCTATTGCTGCAGAACATGTTTCTTGGCCCACGCCAGGGGGGTGGTGTGGGGCTGTATGGGAATATGTGGGATCCGGTGCTTCCGGAACGGAGCAGGGGGGGGGTTGCGGGTGAGCCCTGTTTATGGCCGTCCACCTCAACAAAGGTAATGTAGGTGGATACTGGGTCTGAGTCGGGAAGTGGGGGATGTGTCACTGAGGTGAGAGGGGGGTTGTGGGGGCACATCAGCATAATCTTGCACAGGGCCTAATTAATATTAAAGACAGCCCTGGCAACACAGCACATCGTCAAGGGCCAGCTGCAAAAGAAAGCTGCCTTCTGATGTTGCACAGAGGCACATGTGCCATAGAGCCTCCTGGGATGTGTGACGTTAGTGTGGCAGGATGCTGCAGGCGAATGTCATTTTAACAAAGCAAAAATCGCAGCAGTGCCAGGAGGTGTCCCATGGAAAAAATGTATGGGGGGTGTAACGTCCAACTACAACAGAAAAAGGGCAATGAGGTAAAGTGGGTAGGTCTGCTTTAAGCAGGGATTTGATACATCCAATTTGCACCTGGCCGTCTAAAGGTGGCCATACACTTTACAACCATCGCAAGACCTTAGTCTTGCGATGGTTGTGAAGTAATTTAAAAAACGTACGATCTGCCTATCTTGGACAGGCAGATCGTACTCTCGATCATCGCAAGCCCCACGAGCACCGTTCAAACCAGCCGAAAATTGTACGATTTTCGGCTGGTTTTCTAGCGTGCTCCCTAGACAAAAGACGTGCGACCGTACAGTAAAAACGGTTGCATGTCTTCCATACACTTTGCGATTATCGTACGATCGCGGGATTTCCCGCGATTATCGTGCGATAATCGCACAGTGTATGGGCACCTTTAGATAAACCTCAGACAGACATGAAAAAAACATCAATTAACCACTTGCTGACCAGGGTGTTAAACCCCCTTCCTGCCCACTCCATTTTTCAGTACTTTGACTGACATCTATTCCGTCATGCAACGCTGTACTGAAATGAGTTTTATACTGTTTTTTGGGAACACATAGGGGGAATTTATCAAAACTGGAGCAGACAACATGTGGAGCAGATTTGCACTGCAGCCAATCAACTTCTCGCTCTCATTTTCAAATCAAACCTGAGCAGACTGAAGAAAGATGCTGATTGGCTGCCATAGGCAAGTGCACCAGATTCTTCTACAATTTTGATAAATTCAAGCAATATAGCTTTCTTTTGGTGGTATTTAACCACTTCAAGACCAGGTGTTTAGACCCCCTTCCTGGCCAGGCCATTTTTCAGTGTTCAGCGCTGCGGTACTTTGACTGACGTTTATTCCGTCATGCAACGCTGTACTGAAATGAATTTTATACAATTTTTTGGGGACAGATAGAGCTTTCTTTTGGTGGTATTTAATCACCACCACAGGTTTTATTTTTTACTATAATTAGAAAAAATTACTGAAATTTTTTTTTTTGTTAAGTTTTATTTTTACATTATGTTAGGAAACATTTATTATTACCCAGTTTTTTGGTAAAATATAAAAGTCGGGGTCACGTCGGTTAAATAGATACCAAACATGAAAACCTGGCTGTTTACATTATAAGCAGATTTCCCCTTAGTGGCACACGAGCTGGGCAGAAAAGGATGTTAAAAAACTCCCACCGCATTCAAAAAGCCACAGTCCAGCCGTTGTAAATACAGCAGGTGGTTAATGCAGTAATCATTCAAAAAAAAGTCCAAAACCCTATTCCGCAGATGACATTGTACTGATGATAGCCAAAAAGTCTGAAACAGCTGTATGAGTTTGGAATACATGGCTATATAGTATTAGGCTATATCTGCACTGTACACCAGCAGGTCTGTATGCGCATCTGACTGATGAGGTGTAAAGCAATGATTTGCATGTCTCCGCCCACTATCCTTAAATGAGGAGTAGTCCTCTTATTTTGAGCATATGTGATGAAATGTGACATGGGAATATCTCTATTTTCTGAAGGCTTTACTGTGCTATATATTAAACAATAATAAAATCTATTTCAATTGCAGCCAGTGTGAGAACCTGGAATTTCATTGGTATTTTCTCATCAAAAAGGCAGCAGCACAGAATAAACTCTGAACACATTGTCACCATTTTTCCAGATTTTCTGCTGCGCTGCTGCTGTTTCCTTGATGAGGAAATAAAAGAGCTATTTTTACACAAAGTACTGTTTGAAGTCCTTGATACGGGACATCTTTTACTGCAATATGCCCTCTGGTCTATAAGGATGTACATCTCTCCTGTCTATAAAGGTGATCTCTCCTGTCTATAAAGGTGTACATCTCTCCGATGAAGGTGTACAGCCCCCTGTACATAAAGGTGTACATCTCTCCAATGAAGGTATACAGCTCCCCTGTCTATAAAGGTGTACATCTCTCCTGTCTATGAAGTTGTACAGCTCCCCTGTCTATAAAGGTGTACATATCTCATGTCTATTAAGTTGTACAGCTCCCCTGTCTATAGAAGTGTACATCTCTCCTATGAAGGTGTACAGCTCCCCTGTTTATGAAGGTGTAAGGCTCCCCTGTCTATAAAGGTGTAACTCTCTCCTGTCTATGAAGGTGTACAGCTCCCCTTTCTATAAGGGTGTACATCTCTCCTGTCTATGAAGGTGTACAGCTCCCCTGTCTATAAAGGTGTACATCTCTCCTGTCTATGAAGGTGTAGTACATTTCACCTTTCTATGAAGGTGTACATCTCTCCTGTCTATGGAGGTGTAGCTCTCTCTTGTCTATTAAGGTGTAACTCTCTCCTGTCTATGAAGGTGTACATCTCTCCTGTCTATGCAGGTGTACATCTCTCCTCTTTCTGGAGGTGTACCTGTCTCCTGTCTATGGAGGTGTACCTATCTCCTATCTATGCAGGTGTACATTTCTCCTCTTTCTAGAGTTGTACCTGTCTCCTGTCTATGGAGGTGTACCTCTCTCCTATCTATGCAGGTGTACATTTCTCCTCTTTCTGGAGGCTTACCTATCTCCTGTCCATGCAGGTGTACATCTCTCCTGTTTCTGGAGGTGTACCTCTCTCCTGTCTATGCAGGTGTACATCTCTCCTCTTTCTGGAGGTGTACCTGTCTCCTGTCTATGGAGGTGTACATCGCTTTTGTCTTTAGAGATGTACCTCTCTACTGTCTATGGAGGCGCACATCTCTCTTGTCCATGTAGATGTATGTATGTAGGAGTCTATGTGAGTCTGGTGATGGCTCAGCAGCACACAATCTCGGCTGTCTTCCCCAGATGTGTCCAGCCCCGATCAGCACACACAGAGGGGCAGAGGAGAGGATTTTGGCATGTGCGGGCTCCTCCTCTCCTCTCCCAGCCTGGGAGGGACTAACCCCCTCTGCTGTTCCACACAAGGAGCTCTCTCTGTCTCTCCTCCCTCTCTCTCGTACAGTCACACAAACGTACACACACACATACACACACAGCGACAGCACTACACACTCACACATACACAAAGCAACGAGCGGCAGCGGCAGCATCGGCAGGCACGGGACTAATGCAGACAGTGGCGGAAGATGGCTGATGTGACAGCAGGGCACCCTGAGCCCAGCAGCCTGGCATCCCCTGCCCTCCCCCAACTGCTCCCTCCTCACACAATCTAAATAGAGGGGGGGGGATCGCCACTTCACTTTCTTGCTCCCCCCTCATCGGCCAAGACACTTTTACTTCCAGCAGCCATTTCATCAGCACAAACTATACAAAGCATGGCAGAAATGGAAAAAGAGGGGAGACCCCCAGAAAATAAGCGGAGCAGAAAGCCTGCGCACCCGGTGAAAAGGGAGATCAATGAGGAGATGAAGGTAAGGTGGCAGTGATGGATGCCAGGGAAATGTCAGATTGTGTACGATGTATTGAATGTGGCAGCCCCGCCTCGATGGAGTGACAAGTCTTGTCCATTGACCGCCTGTGAATTGATTGGCATAGAAGTGGAGCTGACACATCGCTCGCAGAACTCTCATATATGCAGGTTGGTGCTGTCAGTTGTACCGACAAATCAGCTCCGCGATCTTTTCTTACCTATAGCACAGATCGCTCGTCTTTGCCTGGGTGTTTATGGTGACACAAGTGACTTTTTCTGATGGCTGTCCTGCCAGCTCCATGTCTCGGCTGAGTGATATCCCACTAGGATGGCTGCGCTGTGTGCAGTGGCGGTGTACAACCATGACCACCCAGATGTGCCCCAGAGGTTGCACTACAGATGCTGCCTGGAGAAGCCTTGTGTGTGTCTGCTGTGATCTGTCATGCTCAGTCTTAAAGGGTATTTCCACTTTTGCAGTCACATCTGAGAACCCCCCACCATTAGGTTCCCATTCACAAAGCTATTCAAAAACAGCCCTTACCTTTCTTTTTGGATTAGACATAGGACCACAAGCTATTCTGAGCAATGGGGCAGAGGTAATTTCACCTCATTGGCATACAATGCCATGAGATATTTAGCCCTTTGCTAGGACACTGTTGATGTCTAGTTTACAACTGATAATAGGGTCAGCCAGCACAGTACAGACAGGGTTAATGATAGTAAACATTAACTCCACACCCCCTTCTTAACATCGCATGGAGGAAAGCTAGATACATATGTATGTATACTATATTATTGGGGACAGATAACAAATACACAGTAGGTGTTATCACAATTTGGCTGCAAATACACTTCAAGTGCTTATCGGACTTAAAAACTTTACTATTGTCACTGCACATATTCTATAACAGGTGTGGAGAACTCCGGCCCTCCAGCTGTTGTGGAACTACAAGTCCCATGAGGCAAGACTGACAGTTACAGGTATGACTCTCAGAGGCAGAGACATGTTGGGATTTGTTGTTAAAGTACAACTGGAGGGCTGGAGTTGCCCACCCCTGATCTATAACCTAAAATAAGAATCACAAGACAATCCATTGATCTTGATATGATCTCAATCACTCAAAAAATCCTCTATAATATTTAATATGTAATTTCATAAGTCCTTTTCCATCTTTTTTTAAATCTGCAGCTTTCATTAAAATAATGGCTGGTGATCTTGCCAGGAAGGTCCTTGTCCGGGTGCTTCCTGTTGTGGGGTGACAACCGTTTTCCCGTTGTCCCCCCAGTGTTGTCACCCTGTCAGGCACACTTCTTACAGATGCTGCAAGTGTTTTAACACTGCCAGGAAGTTGGTCCTGAGCGGTGATGTGGAAGGAGTACCCCTAGACAGGAAGTGGCTAACATAGCTGGAGGAGATCAGCAGTGCAGAAATGCAGAAAAGGTGAAAATAATTAATTGTTTTTTTTTAACTGAATGGAAAACAAAGACCAATTGTTCCTAATACATGGCAGTTTAGTAAACTGAAAGAGATTGGATCAGCAAGTAAAACAATTTCCTAGAAACAGTAAGTCACCTCTATCTTAATTATGATTCACACATATTCCCAACTTTACTTATTGAAAATTGGGAGCAGTCAGGGGAACTTACTTATATTGCGTTGCCCCCCCCCC